AAGCCCTATTTGGGTTGACCTGGATTTAAATCCTTGTTCTTTTCTCACTTTGTGTTTATTTGGAGTAAGTCACTTAACCACTTTGAACTTGATTTTCATGTAACCATGTTATTGTTACATAGCAGCTTCCTCAAAAGTATATTCTTTGCAATAGGCATTTTCTATAGCTGTGCTGCCCAATATGGCAGATACCAGCCCTGTGACTATTTAAATTTCTTAAAATTAAATGCAAGAAAAAACCCCTTCTTTCAGTTGCACTAGCCACATTTCAAGGACTCATGATGTAATCAGTGGCTACCTGGGACAGTAAAGAGAGGAAGCATTTCCAACATCACAAAGCATTCTATTGGAAAACAGTGGTCACAGCGTAACTATTGTGTGGGGAAACAAGCTGTGTGTTTAAAGATTTTGGAGATAGTGATTAAACAAATTAAAACATATTTCTATACAGGTGTAACATGGACATCAAAATGGTGACATTCTGACAGAAACTGATAAAAAATCCTTCCCCCTCCTTTTTTTCTTGCAGATATGACCCAAGTTTTCTGTACTTTGGCATTATTTGTCTAATTTACAAATTATTTGTAATGTGACTACATTATATATTTAAGAAAGAAGATGTCTTTGAAAAAGATCCTTTGATCTCAAGGTAAGTGCGGCTTCTGATCTAAGAAATATGTGACACACAATTCTGAAATGCTAAGAGAAATCTTGTACATTTCGGGAAGAATTTTAATTCCTGATGAAAGAGATGAGCCTGATGACAATGCTTAATCTAAACGGTAGCAATTATTTTAAGTTGCTCATTAATAGTACATAGAAATAGTACTGAATGCCTTAGGTGTCCAATGTGATGGTTCCACTCTGGCTACCCAGAGCACAATCATCTTTCATTTTTGTGGGCTAGCAGGGAGTTACCCAGCTGACTTCCCTGCTGACTCAGATGGTAACGCATCTGCCTACAATGTGGGAGACCCAGGTTCAATCCATGGGTTGGGAAGATCTCCTGGAGAAGAAAATGGCAACCCACTCCAATACTCTTGCCTGGAAAATCCCATGGATGGAGGAGCCTGGTAGGCTACAGCCCACGGGGTCTCAAAGAGTCGGACACGACTGAGCGACTTCACTTTCACTTTTCACTTTCATGCATTGGAGAAGGAAACGGCAACCCACTCCAGTGTTCTTGCCTGGAGAATCCCAGGGATGGGGGAGCCTGGTGGGCTGCCGTCTATGGGGTCGCAGAGAGTCAGACACGACTGAAGCGACTTAGGAGCAGCAGCAGCAGCAGTTTCTCCAGCAGTTGTTTCCTGCCTGTGCTTGGCTTCCTGGAGTCTTACCAGGTCTAGGTGGAGGGTGGATATTTAGCCAAAGATTTGAATGGAACCTTGTGCAGATCTCTGGAACTCTTTCTTTGTGAAATTCCTTCCTGTTCATTTCTCTGTCCCTAAGTTTTAGCTGTCTTAGCTTCCAGAGACTCAGCTGTCTGAGCCCGCATCTCAGTGAAACTTCTGCCCTTGGTGAGATGTTTGGGCTTCTCCTTTTTATGCACGATGGCTCAGAGAGCGCCTCCACACAGGGATGTGTGTGTGTGTGTGTGTGTGCGTGTGTGCGTGTGTACACGTGCTCAGTCGTGCCTGACTCTTTGTGACCCCATGGACTGTAGCCCGCCAGGCTCCTCTGACCCTGGCATTCTCCAGGCAAGGATGCTGGAGTGGGTGGCCATGCCCTCCTCCAGGGGATCTTCCCAACCCAGGGACTGCAGTTTCTTTACCACTAGCCCAACCTAGGAAGCCTGGAAAGCCCATGGTCTCATCTTATTTGTTTCCTTTCTTTCAGGGATTACGGTCCTGCCTTGCCTGTTATCTAATGTTTCTGAAAATTGTTGTTTCATGTATTTTATTCAGTCTTCTTATTTGTGCTGAAATAACTGGCTTGGTACTGACGGGAAGCAGAGTCATCTGTTGACTTTCACAATGTACATCATGTCAGCCAAGGGGGTGTATTCTGTGTTTCCCACATTCTTGGTGCTTCTAAAAGGGGTTATTTATTGCTTGTAAAGGAATTGTTTATTAACAACCATATTATTGCTTAATGATGAAGTGGTGTTTTCAGTATCTTGCATTCTAATTTGGTAATTTTTATATCTTTATATGTGTTTTATTATTTTTTAGTGAATATGGAAAGCTGGTTTGGGGATTTGGGCCACAATAAAATGCATTGTAATTTTTCCTATTTAAAATAATGAGAAATAGGCTCTTTCTTATCCATACCATGGACAAGCTCTAAATTTCAGAAATTTCTGAATTATTAACATTAACTGAGAGATGACTATATAAATATAAGGCACCAACTGTTCTTGATACACTTTGTCTGTCCTTTTCACAGCTATATCCTAAGGATCTAGAATTGTTCGTAGCATATAGTGGAGGATTATGAAATACTTGCTGATTAAATGAAATTTAGGTGTTCAAGATGGAACTTTCTATGATGATAAGAAGAATTATTCTTACAAACATTATAATAAACTTAAATAAGTATCATAATCATACCTTGGATTATTAGTTTCTGTTTTAATTGGATGAATCACATTGAACCATTCTGTGTGCTAGGCTGAATTAACTAACTTAAGGGAGCCAAGCTCCTTCTCATGAGGTATTAGTTACTGGCAACTGAATATATCCAGTCAATATGCACATTTAGCAAGATTTAACAAAGTATCAATCAAGAGAGGTGGGGCTATTGGTTTTATTATTTGACTAAACATTTTTAGGGTATGTCTGGACTACAGTCAACTATATCAACATCTACCTTCTCAAAATGTGGAGGTATGCTAAACTAATGCCAGTTTAGAGATAAGAACTCATTCTCTCAAAACCCAGGAACTTTTGGCCCTGTCCGTCATATCCCAACATGTGTGTGGCTAAAGATAAGAGTACAAATGGAGACCCACATATCATACGTCTAAATATAAGTTCCAGATCAGTTGATTTAATGTTTTGATAAAATATGTCTTATCCTGTAACTTTGATAAATATATTTTCACAATGCCTGGAAAACCAGGCTTGAATTTAGAATTCTTAGGCTCCTCAATGTTCATGTTTCAAAGTAGTGGGTCAATTTAGTCTCATCCTACATCGTGCCCCCCACCCCTTCCCCCCCACCTTGGCCTTCCTGCCCCGCGAGGATGGTTGCATACGTCCTTGTGAACACCCAGCTACATATTCAAGCTTAGATCACACCCTTTGTTGTCTCTTGGCCACTCTTAGTTGTAGGGGCATTTACACCGATGGTGAATTCAGACTTCAGAAGCACTGACCCAAGGACAAGGCCCACCCAGGCCATGGAAGAGTGGCCAGAAGTCATTTGGGCAGGTAATTCCTTGGCCTAAGCATCAAGGCATGATCTGGCAGGGGTGGGAACACAACTTCCATGAGATACCTCCCCTGGATCCAGTAAACTCCCCTTCCTTGGCACTGGGGAACCAGAGCAGGTTCTTCAAATTCCTAGGTCCAGAGCAGGGTCCTTCTTAACTGGATCGACCCAATGCACTGGGATTATAAATATACAGGAATGTCAAAGTTGGGATGTTAAGCTACTCTTGCCAGGGGTTTTGATGGTGGACACTTCTAAACTATTTAACCAATATCCATATTCGTATTCTTTCTTATGAATAAAGCCCTGATTTTGTTTAGGGCAGCAGTACTTCTAGCTTAGAAGCTGTATCTTCAAGATAAGCTTGCAATCAGGGACAACCATGCAATATGGTTCTAACCAGTGAAACAGAGCAAAGGTTTTCTGGGGATTTCTGTGAGAGCTTTGCTTTCTTAATAAAGCCTTCCCTGCTCTTCTTGGGGCTCTCTTCTTATAATCTTCTTATAATCTGGAACACGTGTGTGAACTTGGAGGTGGAATGGTATCTTTATAACTATAAGATGGACTCAGAGATGAAAGTCACATGGTAAAGATGACATAGCAGAAATGTAAAAGGATGCTGGAACACTGATGATATCAAGGAATATCATCGCCAGCCTTCTCATGTTAAAATAAATCCCCATTTGACTAAGACATTATAGGCATGCATCCAAAAGTAATTCCTAATAAATGCAATCAGCTGATTTACATAATCATTATTCCTCAAAAAAAGGTGCATGTTTATATGTTGCTTAACATATACCAATAATAGAAGAATTGATCAAATTTATGTATTAAATTTATGAATTATCTTTTTGTCTGTCCACTAAGCTCCTTGAATATAGGGACTGGATTTTATCATTTCCCCCAGCTTTTCCCACATAATCTGAAACATAATCACATTAATAGCATAAAGATAGAGGGCTTCCCTATTAGTTCAGTTGATAAAGAATCTGCCTGCAATACAGGAGACCCTGGGAAGAGCTGCTGGAGAAGGGATAGGCTACCCAATCCGGTATTCTTGGGTTTCTCTTGTGGCTCAGCTGGTAAAGAATCTGCCTACAATGCAGGAGATATAGGTGTAATCCTTGGGTTTGGAAGATCCCTTCGAGAAGGGAAAAGCTACCCACTCCAGTATTCTGGCCTGGAGAATTCCATGGACTGTATAGTTCATGGGGTCGCAAAGAGTCAGACACAACTGAGTGACTTTCATAGAGATGTGCTAAACATTTAGATAAAAGTTGAATTTGTATATACTGAGCTCTATTTTTCCATAAATGGTTTATAATCAAGGTAGATAATAAAGCAATAGCATCTTGAAATAAAATATAAATGGAGGGATGCTTTTTAATTTCTGAATTGTTTGTTCATATTGGTTCTCTGATACTTTTCAAGAAGAGAAGGAAAAACAAGAGAGAAAAAACACCCAAAGAAGGAGAAATTTGAATTGTACTGGTGGAAGAACACAATGGGTGAAGGACTTCCCTGGTGGTTGAGTGGTTAGGAATCCGCCCGCCAATGCAGGTGACACGGGTTTGATCCCTGGTCTGGGAAGATTCCATATGCCCGTGGGGCAGTTAAACGTGTGCGTCACAGCTACTGAGTCTGCGTCCCAGTGTCCCTGAGCTCCGGCTACCGAGCTTGCGCGATGCCAGTCCTGAAACCCACGTGCGGAGAGCGCCAGCTCCACAGCCGGAGAGGCCACAGCGATGAGAAGCTTGTGCAGCATAGCCGGAGGGTGGTTCCGGCTCTTCGCCACTCAGTGACGGAGACCCAGCGCAGCCGGGTACCTACAGACATAAACAGACAGTAGGTAAACACGCCTGTCAGAGTCAGTGATACTATTTCTAAAAAGACAATGGATGCTATTTTCCTTTCTTGGTGATTCGCTAACAATTTTAAAGAAAACCCCAGACTAAATTTGTAAATATTTAAATCATTTATTCTCAGAAATGAAAAAAATATTTTCATTTATGATTTTGTTCAATATCTTAGCTACTGTCTTTCTGGTGATAACAAAGGCACTCAATATTTAGGATTATGGATCTGATGCGTTGGCATAAAATGAGCCTCCTGAAAACAATTTCCTATGGAAAAATATATAGATTTTAGTGAAAGATCAGCATACACAATCACAGAATTAAGAATATGGTATATATAGGAGATTTATCAAAAACTACATCTTTCTTTTACCTTGTTTATCATGTCCTTCATCTTTTGAGAAGGGAAAGGCTCTATTCTTTGATTTTGCTTCAGTGTCTTAGTATGTGTACACATGCAGAAAATAAAAAGACAGATTCATATTTTTATTTAAGGTTTCCTCTGCCTACTCTAAGATCCAAATAACTGTTTGAGAAAAATAAAGATCATTTCCCCCTACTTTTGGAAGTAAAAATATTAGATTAGCAAAGAAAGTGGCTTTGAAGTTGGGCAGACTTAACATTTAGACTTTTTTTAAGGAAAAGTACTTGAATATGAAATCATTGGTTCTTTGTAGATAGATTTTTTTCATCTTACTTTTCTTTGAATGGAACACAATTGGTTCACTAATTTTAGTTTCTTTCTGAAATGCACTCTATGAACACATGCCATAAATTCCAACATATTCAGCACTGCATGATGAAGATGATACTTGCTTGTAATAGTGTTCTGCTTCGATTGACAACCACAAGCTTCTTCTCACCCTTTCCTCTTCCAAATTAAAGGTATAAGAAATACTGTCGAATATGATTTATTACTTACTTCCTCAGAGGATCTAAACAGAAACTATTATCTCCTTCAAATCTTTTGTGCTATCACTATTCACAATTTTCAGGGAGACCTGAACTAATGTTCTTACTGTTGATCTCAAAGCTGTGGTACCACAATTCTTGTGCTGGGGAAAAAACCAAAAACAAATAAAAGAGCTAGAAAAGAAGGATACACATTTAAAGTTCCTAAAGAAAAAAAGCTTGCACTATGTTCTGATTGACAAGTGTTCAACACATTGCATCATGTGAGGTACAGCTAGCTTAAAGCATAGAATAAATGATGCAGTTTTCATATTTGTCATTACATTCCACAGATATGACATTAGCATGTTTGCAAAGAAGGAAGGCTAGAATGAAAATAAACTCTTTTTCTATATGCCTAAACATATTAGCACTTATAGTAAATTGTATTAAAACTAAAAATGGGTTTAATCTGGAGGTAAACATTATCAATATTCATTGGTATGCTTATGTTAATTAACTGGGCATTAATTCTGCAAACTTAAGCCAGGAAAGAGAAAACTTAGCTCTGCTTCTTCCTATCAGGATTGATTGTTATATTTATTCATTTATTTGTCAGGTCTTAATTGTGGGATGTGGGCTCTGGAGCATGTGGGCTCAATAGTTATGGCACTTGAGATCTTAGTTCCCCAACCAGGGATCAAACCTATGCCCCCTGCATTGGAGTGCAGATTCTTAACCACTGGACCACCAGGGAAGTCCCACGGAGAAATCATTTTTAAGGTCTCTTTATGCAGTGGTTCCTACAAATACATGCAAAACCCTGCTAATGTGAAATAAGATTGGTATGTGCAATGTATAATGGGGGTCTCACTTCTCCCTGAGGAAGCAAAACAACCGAGTCCTGGCTTAGTATGTTTCAGAGTTGAACTGGAGAGGACACCAAACCAGAGTGGAGGCAGTGAAGATAAGAGGTGTGAAGACACCAGATGAGGAGTCAGCAACTAACTTGCTGTTAAAGGGGAGGTGGAGAGAAATTCTTGACATAAGCAACTTGTTGAACAGTCTTTCTGTTTATGGAGAAGCCATGAACTGAGACTTCCCTGGTGGCTCAGAGAGTAAAGCGTCTGGCTACAATGCGGGAGACCTGGGTTCAATCCCTGGGTCGGGAAGATTTCCTGGAGAAGGAAATGGCCCCCCTACTCCAGTATTCTTGTCTGGAAAAATTCCATGGACGGAGGAACCTGGTGGGCTACAGTCCATGGGGTCGCAAAGAGTCAGACATGACTGAGCGACTTCACTTTCACTTTCATGAACTGAGAGAGTAGATAATGAGATAACTTTGAGCTTTGTTGCATTTTAATTGCCCGGGGCACATCTGAGAGGAGATTCCACTAGCAGTTGGATCCACAGACAGGGCTGGACCTCCTGAAGAAATGTGGTACTGGTGCTAGAAGTCTTTAGCATGGGGTTGCTCCCTGAAGCCTTCTAGTAGGAGAGCTCCCTTGGAGTGAGTGCGTAGAGAAAGAAGGCTTGAAGAGCGGAATGGCCAATGGCTTTGTTAGACTGAAGCATAGCCTGGGCAAAAGAGAGGAAGGATTGGAATCACAAGGTTCCTAAACGTCAGGCTAAAGAAATTGGATTTTATTTCCTGGATTCTGTAGAATGATAGTACAGTGTCTTTGTTAAAATTTGGTTTCAGAGAATTCATTTGGAGTAAAAAAATAGGTGAAAGTCAGATGACCCAATCTGGAAGCAACTGACAGTGAAATATACCAAAGATCCATGTGGAGATGATTCGTATCATAAGACTTTGGAGAAGGTGTGGGGTCAGAGACTTTCCAGTGGCAGATTCTACAGAACTGGGCATCTGATAGGGTTTGGGGAAAGATTTATGTGACCAAGAAGACATTAAGCACCGTTTAGGAAACAGAAAGCTGAGTTTGAAAAGAAGACTCTAGGCCATATATCAAATAAAGTTCCAAATTTAAACAGGTTGCATTGGTGGGGAGGGGAGGTCAGCCCACAGGCCTGGACACTTGACTCCAGCTCTGACCAGAGCCAGGGAAGCTGTCCAGGATGGACATGAAAAATTGGGAGTCATCTGAAGGGAGGTGAGAGCTGACTCCGTGAGAATATTTCCTGCTAGAGAAATAACCGTCCATGCTGAGACCCAGGAATAATAGAAGTTGCATTTAAGAGAGATTCCTAGAAGCTCTTTGTGTTTCTATTGTCATTGGATACCCCTGGTCTATCCACGAAGTATCAAGAGGTTAAGTACCTTTTTTGGATTTGTTGGTAATAATGTTAAACCAAACACCAATCCTGAAATTTTGTATACTGTCCTTCGCTCATGAGTTTACAATGATTATTGAAAGTAGTATTTTCTTTAATTTTTTAGGTTAAAAAAATTAAACTCAGGTTTGGCAGTTCAAACAAATTTCCTAATCACACAGGCTAAGGACAGACTCATTCGAAAAGCTAGAGCAGTCTCCCAGTAAGGCCAGTAAAAGGCTACCAGTTTCTCACCATGACTTCAGAAACACATGCACAATGTCTAATGTGTTATTAACTATTCAAAATGTACTCTGGTTCCTGCTGTTTCACAGAACAAGTATGGCAGCCTGCATTGTTCTGCAAAACACCTTTCAAAACTGACTCCCAGTTTCGCCTTACCTGCTGACATTTAAAAATAACTGAGCAGTTTACTTTGTTTTCATTTCTTGGAGCAAACAAAAGTAAAAAAGATAGTGTTAGCATTTGGGTCCTGGAGCCACAGTTGGAGATGCATTTTTTTCCCCTTCTCTTTCCTTCTTGCTGTTTTTTATTTTTTTAATGAAAGGTTGTTATTTTTGTTGATTGGCCAATTAGACGAGCTGGTAGCTGCTACCTACTTCTAAGATTTGATTCTATTATAAAGCCTCAGAGGCTAATGCTGCTTCAGTCTTGCCCTAAAAAGACATAAAAGGATACACTTGCCGTTAAGTCTCCCGGCAGATGAAGGAGCATAAACCATTGATCACAATGCGAAATGCTGAAAACTGAAAAGGAATCCAATTTATTTTAAATAAAACTACTCTGTTCTCCAGTGACAGATTCCAGAATCAGACAACAGAAAGGAACTGACAGCAGATGTTTTAGAGCCAAGACACAGAGAGGCTGAGTAATAGAATAGAAAAGAAATTGCTTTGAACTTCACCCCTGCTTTAAATACTTCAAATCAATAGGGTCACAGAGCTCTTTAATAGAGTGATGAGGTCTCGCCCTAGCAGATCTGCACAGTGACAAGCTGATGTGCGTCCTAGCAGCAGGGTCATAAAAATGGCAGGCTTCTCCCTGAAAGGGGGCTTTGTGTGAGCAGGTCCATTGGACTGACTCCCCCGTACGGCCACTCCTGAGAGCCAGGCCCTAATAGTCTCCATCTAAATGGGACTGACCTCATGAATTACCTCAGGAAACTTAATCTATAAACTGGCTTCTTCTTATGCAGACTGATGAATTCTTGTTTATTCCTAAATGGCTGTCACAAGACCTATTCATCAAACTCTTAAGGGTGGGGGGTGGTGGGGGGAGAAGGAGACTTGGAGAATCCAGCCTCAAGTGCGGCACCGTTAAATAATCATTAGGCTTCACGGCTGGTCTTGAGACCCACTCCAAATCCACAAAGCGGGTTTCTTTTTTATTTTTTAAACTATTCATCAGAAGTGCATTGAGATGAGATTCTGACCTGATTTTTTAAAAAAAGAGTGCTTTTTGTCACTATCAGTTTCATGGCTGTGTTCTTTCTCTTTCGAGAGGTTTTTTTTTCAACAAAAGTAAAAGAAAATAAAGGCAGATGGCCAACTCTTTTCAATATCCGTTTGCTTTATTTGAGCAGTTTAATGTAGTGAAACAGAGTGAAATGTTGCTGCTTGCTAAATGGTAAACAACACCATTACCCAGAATTCTGCTGTAGATTGGTACAAAACAGGGTGCTGGTGATTAATTAAACTGTTGTTGTAATTGTAATGCATGATACATAATAGATAGTGTGCCGTGTATTTTAAAAGCAGCAAATTAGCAAATAATAACTTTTCTACATAGCACATCTCCATTGCTTGCTGCTAATGCATAAATAATCAAAAATAAAAGGCTATTATGCAACTACCTAATAAAATGAATGTTTCTGATGTTCACCAATCTGTAAACATGTGCTAGTGAAGCTGCATACCATGGCTGCTGTAGGTCAGGTGCCCCTGGAGGCAAGAGGAAGAAATTTCTCCCCAGTAGGCTTTCCATTGTCTACTGAGTTATATATAATCTCCCCTGTTCTCTTAATAGTCACACATGGAGTGGTCTACTTTACATGTATTATACTTTTGTAGAATACCAGCCTGGGTTATAGAAATGGATATGTAGATACTTTTTATAGAGGAAATATAAAATGATAAAGAGTCATTTTCTGATGCCATGTTCATGTCTTGCCTGCTTTTTCACTGTGACAATTTAAAAAAAAAAGATGGAATGTAAAGGTGATCATGTATCCTCCCCAATTCTTTTTACCTGATGTTCTCTAACATTTGGTAGGCAAACAAAACGACTCAGAAGAAGCTAATGCAGGCAGAGTGCACGCTGGTCATGCCTTTGGGATGACTGCGGTGAAAATGCAGAGATGGAAAGAGAGGGCTCAGGTGATTTCCATGAACAGGAGACACTTTCATCACGATATCTTTTTTCCTTTCCCTTATCTTCTTTGCACTGAGTAATAAACCTTGGATATTTTTACTTAAATAGCTTTATTGAGGTATAATTTACATACTATAAAATTCATCTATTTTAACAGCACAACTCAGTGATCTTTAATAAATTTACAGAGTTGTGCAACAATCATCACAGTTCAATTTTAGAGCATTTCTGTCACTGTCAAAAGATTCCTTGTCCTCTGTTCCACCCTAGAATTTAGGCAACCAGTAAGCTTTTTTAATATCTTTATAGATATAAAGATTTGCCTTTTCTGGAACTTTCACATAATTAAAATCATACAAGAATCTATCTTTATGTCTGGTGTCTTTTACTTTGCACAATATTTTTGATGTTTACCCGTGTTGTAGCTTATATCAGTATGTTCATACCTCTTATGGCTGTATAATATTCCATCAAATAGACACACTGCATTATGCTTATCTGTTTCCCAACTGGTGAACCTTTGGATGTGTTCTCATTTCTCTTGGGGAGATTATTCGAAGTGGAATTGTGGAGCCATATGGTAGATTGATTCAACCTGAACTTTTGAAATGATCTCTCTCCGTTTGCAAAATGAAACTGAATTCCGGGACAAGAGCAGTTAGCACTTTGCAGCCGGGTGGGACTGGGAGACACTTGGTCTGCTCGCGCATCCGCGGTTTCCATCCACGTGACCTTAGGCAAAGTCATACTGCTCACTTTCCCTGAAAGATTGCTTCCCTCCCTTGAGTTCCCAAAGACAGTGGAGCACGGTCAATGCAGACTCAGTCAGCACGGCCGTCCGGCTGCCGTGATCAGCAGCTCAGAGGGACAGATAAGATTTTGGCACGCCGTTATCAGCATGCAGATGCTGATCAGGGCAGCACCCGATGCCTGGAGGTGGGTGGTGGGGGTTGAAGTAGGAGTTGATGAGTCTCGCCTTCTTGGTTGAGTGCTGTTCCACGAGAAGAGAGTGAGTGAACCACTTTATGTGTTGTTCTTTGAGTGGGCTTTTCCCTTTCAATCACATAAACATACTCCAGGAGATAAGGTGTCTGGGGCTCACGTATCCCACTTTGGCTCAACTATTGACTACCGGTGATGGCCAAGGCCCCTGCCGATTCCGCTGCTAGGGACTCAGTGAATACAGGCCACCTCTGTGCTCTCTACTTCCAGCCTGTGGCTTGGAGTCCTGATAAAGCACACTCTGTCTTACTTGCCCTCTCTGAAAATAAAAACAAATGATGACGTCTCTAAGTGTAGTCTAGTAAAACTCTGATCAATGCTATAAAGCAAAATGTAGTTGATTGCTGCCTGGCACTTAAGCAATGCATTTCGACACTCACCATTCTCCTTTAACAGTCCAGGTAGCGTTTAGTCAATAAGGACTCTGAGCGTGTGTGTGTGTGTTTGTGTGTGTATTTTTCCTTTTTTGCCAGACACAAGATTCTGCTTTCTGCCCTACAGGGGGATTCAGCGGAGCTCAAAGAATTTGCCAAGTGAAACAAGGACATCCTAGGAGCCGAAATTGGTGTAAATCCCACAGCATGAGCTGCCCAAACTTCTGTGGGATTCAGAAGTTTCATGGAGCATAGACAACTTCCTGGTGGGAGATGAGAACATTATGTACAAATAACTGTCTGCACAGGGTGTGTGCCACGCACAGGTTCTGCTCATTTCTTTCTTCTCTGAGACAGCAGGATTTTTTAAATTGCATAAGGGCAGGCTTCTGTTTCAACTTACCTAAGATTGTGCATGCTAGGGAGCTGGGATGTGGCAGAGAGTGTCCCGTGGGGAACACACGCATACACAATGGTGCAATCTGACAAGGGAAGGGGTACTGAGTCACAGCGATGCCAGGTTTGTAGCATACTCCTTTCACGTGTCTTCCTACTGTAGCCTTGGCAATATAGCCAAGGACTGGAATGTACTTGGGATGAAAGTTGTGCCCAAAAGCTTAATTAGTTTTATTCTTTTGGTTGCCAGGATCTGAGACACATATGTTACTCTAAGTAAAAGGAGACTTATTTTAAGGATAAGCGTGATGAAGAATGAGAAGGGAAGGACCACCCAGAGCCTAGCAGAAAAATAAATGAAAAGTGAAAGTGAAGTCGCTTCAGCTGTGTCTGACTCTTTGCTACCCCATGGACTGTAGCCAGCCAGGCTCCTCCGTCCATGGGATTTTCCAGGCAAGAATACTGCAGTGGGTTGCCATTTCCTTCCCCACGGGATCTTCCCGACTCAGGAAAAATAAGAACTCGTTATTTGCATCCAGTCTCGTCAGTGTCCCTGCATGCCCCGCCCAATCTCCACCCCTTGCTGATTGGCCAGTTTCTCTATTTTCTGCAGGACTGCATAGGAAATAGTGTGTCTGATTGGCTGTATGGAAACCATCACCTCTATGGAGGAGAAAGCTTCGCTCCAGGTTACTGTATAGACTACTTGCCAAACTATGGCTGATGCTTACACCACTTTTCATCCTTTATGTTCACTGGAATTTCTGCACAAAGGCTGGACAAGCACTACCTCCTTGAATTTGGAAATAAAGCTGTTCTTTAGAGAGAGGGAAGTTAAACAGGGTGAAAAGTGGATTAATCAGCTCAGTATAGAAGTTAAATAAGAGGAATGGATCCTGTTCTTGCATCAAACAAGCAAACAAAGATTGACGTATAGAAAAGAATTTTGATTTGAACTTGTAACAATTAGTTATAAACTAATTCAACACTCATTAACTGAGTTCTTTGTTGTGCAAAACGTGTAGGTCCTGACTATTAAGAAAGGAATAGGGGAGCGTGAGTGGAGTATCTAGTAGTACAAGGAAGTGTTTGTTCATCTACAAATGAAAAGCCTATGGGTCAGAGAATTTGAGACCTGCCCAAAACCAAACAGTTGCAACAACAGACTGGACGTGAATGTGTTTCCATGGCTTCAAAGTCTATGCTATCAAACTGTTTCCAGAGATGTATGTGGCTGGTTTTCCCCATGTAGGAGCTTAAACATGATTGGAAAAATCAAGATAACTTTCAGAAAAGAAGATAGGTTTTCCTCCTGAGAATGTATGTGTCAGAAATGTTTTTAACAGTAATGTGAATTATTACTACATAATTTTGTGTATGTATCTATACACATTTCACTGAATGAGAATTTGCAGTTGTTGTTCAGTTGCTCAGTCATGGCCGACTGTCTGCAACCCCATAGACTGCAGCATGCCAGGCTTCCTTGTCCTTTACTATCTCCTGAAGTTTGCTCAAACTTACCTCCACCGAGGTGATGATGCCATCTGAAGATCACCTCCTATGTCATCCTCTTCTCCTCCTGCCCTCAGTCTTTCCCAGCATGAGTCTTTTCCAATGAGCTGGCTCTTCACATCAGGTGACCAAAGTATTGGAGCTTCAGCTTTAGCATCAGTCCTTCCAGTGAATATTCAGGGTTGATTTCCTTTAGGATTGACTGGTTTGATTTCCTTGGTGTCCAAGGGACTCTCAAGAATCTTCTCCAGCACCACAGTTGGAAAGCATCAATTTTTCAGTGCTCAGCCTTCTTTATGGTCCAACTCTCACAACCATACATGACTACTGAAAAAACCATATCTTTGACTATATGGACCTTTGTCAGCAAAGTGATGCCTCTGATTTTTTAATACATTATCTAGGTTTGTCATAGCTTATCATCCAAGGAGCATCTTAACTTCATGGCTGCAGTCACCGTCTGCAGTAATTTTGGAGCCCAAGAAAATAAAGTCTGTTACTCTTTCCATTTTCCCCCCTTCTATATACCTCACAATTGCACTCATCTCACACACTAGTGAAGTAGTGCTCAAAATTCTCCAAGTCAGGCTTCAACAGTACATGAAATGAAACTTCCAGAAGTTCAGGCTGGGTTTAGAAAAGGCAGAGGAACTAGAGATCAAATTTCCAACATCTGTTGGATCATAGAAAAAGCAAGAGAATTCCAAAAGAACATCTACTTCTGCTTCATTGACTATGCTAAAGCTCTTGACTGAGTGGATCACAACAAACTGTGGAAAATTCTTCAAGAGATGGGAATACCAGACCACCCGACCTGCCTCCTGAGAAATCTGTATGCAGGTCAAGAAGCAACAGTTAATACTGGACATGGAACAATGGACTGGTTCCAGACTGGGAAAGGAGTACACCAAGGCTGTATATTGTCACCTTGCTTATTTAACTTATATGCAGAGTACATCATACAAAATGCCAGGCTGGATGTCTCACAAGCTGTAATCAAGATTGCTGGGAGAAATATCAATAACCTTAGATATGCAAATGACACCAGTCTAATGTCAGAAAGCAAAGAGAAACTAAAGAGTCTCGATGAAGTTGAAGGAGAGTGAAAAAGCTAGCTTAAACTCAACATTCAAAAACCTAAGATCGTAGCATCTGGTCCAATCATTTCATGGCAAATAGATGGGGAAACAATGACAAACTTGATTTTCTTGTCTGTCTGAACAACTGAACTGAACTGNTGGTTGGGGCATAGACTTGGATTACTATAATGTTGAATGCTTTAGGAGCATATGATGCCTAAATCTTCAGTATACAATGTATGGGTCATTTGTTTATGATGTAGTTACTAGATGTACTTTTTATTGATGAATTCACTTGATTGGTAGAACTGTAGATGGGCTAGATGCTCTGACCCAGGTGTCCTCAGCTCTTGAGTGGCTTCCATCTAAGCTGCATTGCTTTTAAGTCCACAAAGCTTGGAGGACTTACACACTTATTTGAGTCACTTCATTTAACAGTGATTGCTGATGTTTTTTATACCCTTTGGACAAGAACGAAATTCTAATGGCATTCCTTGTTAACTAATGAAACAATTTCTAAATGACAAAATAACTCACACTCCACACTAAAATGACTTTTTAGTTTTTTGTTTCATCTTAAGTTCAAAAGTGAAAGCTAAATTTAATTTTTCTGAGGTAGTTCAAAGCACTGGTGTTTAGATTTGGGTAACTTGTAGAAAATAAACCAAAATAACTCTCAATTTTAAAAAAAATATTTAAAAAATTCTATAAACAGTGGATATGAACTCTCAGCAGTGTGAATAGCTTCTCTGTATCCCCTGATGAGTTTCACCCGAGTGCCAGAAGGAACTTCTGACTCCTCACATCTCTGAGCTCTGAAGTCTGTTTGCTCTCCGCATCCTGGCAGCAGGGCTCATCTTGGTTTTGTTCTGTTTGAGAGTTCCCTCCTCACGGGAGATGTGATGACCTGGCTTTCCTCTTTACCAAGTAAATATCTCAGGAAAGATTTAGAGCTGTTCTTCCCAGCTGTTGGTCGATCTGTTTTAGGATGATCTTCTTCCCCAGGGGAAAGGCGTAATCTGATCATCTTTTCTCCTCCATTTGGTGTTGATCAAGGTGCCTCTGTCTGGGAGAACAGTGGAAAGAATTTGGTGCTTTCTTCACATGTGTGCATAATCAGTGAACTAATAATTATAAATTTTCACAGCAAGAAATAAAATTTGTTTTCTTACCTAGAAGACACTGTCTTATATGTGAGGGGCATGTTTCAAACATATTTGTGCAAAACTCTCAGCATAATAGTCTTCTTCTCTAGTTATAGTCAGAGTGTGAGATTCTCCCAAATTTGTGCTTAACATGTTACTAAAAACTGGTAACACACATGCTTCTTTATTTATTTTTTAATTTTTGGAATAGGTTGATCTCAAGTCCCATTCTGTCTCCCAGAACTTTGTGCACCAAACAAGGCTAATTATATTAATTTATTTTATAGCATTTTATTGGGTTGATATTAATGTTACTTTGATTAAAAAATCTGTAAAACACACTCAATTTGAATTACTTGATCTCCAAAACTCTGAAAGGTAGAATGAAAGCCAAAATGAGCAAGGAATAAAAATAGCCCACTTTCTTAGATACCAGATTTTTCCTCTTAACTATCAGCTGATGATAATTTCTTGTATTCATCTTGTTAATGTAACATCTCCATCCCTAACAACTGAATTAATAAAAAATTCTTCACTAATGAAAAATTCTATAAGCATGGTTTCTATATGTCTTTTACTGAAACACCATCATTTTGATTGCGTTTATAACACATTATCATTTGAAAGAATTAGGATGAAAGTTTCTGAGTTAAAATCCATTGGACAGTGAGTGTTGAAGCTGAGATGAAAATTCAGGTCTCTCTTCTGAGTTTAATTCTCTTCTTTCCTGAAAGTCAATATTATTGAAAAATAGCATAGAGGCAGGAAGTATTTTAACAGTTTCTGGCTCAGTCTCAGCCAAGAACCCAGTGTATGAGGGAAGTTATATATTCCAAATGGTCTAAGGACTTATCAAGGGAGTAACAGCTTGTGTTCTCATTTCGTGTGTGCACACTCATCATTTTTGGTCAAAGTTGTAATCCCAGCATGATTTCCCCTGGACACTCAGGTTCATCTCTCTTTGCTCCCAAATAGCCAGTGTTCAAACACCAAGTAATAAGAATAAGCTAAATACAGCTAGGAAAGATTTCCTGTGAAGAAATGTAAAAACCTTGTACCATAGAACCCTTGTCCAAAGGTTTGGCTTATATGACAAGGCTGATCATTCTTTTATTGATTTCTGCTCCCTTGGAAAAAATCTATCTCGTGAGGCATTAATTTTCCCCACTCACAATAA